CCATCAAGACCTTCATCAAGGGATGCTTGGGTGGCGCGGGTGAGGCTTTGGATTGAGGGTTCAGGGTGTAGAACTTGGTGGGCAGACTGAACCAAGGGTTTAGGGCTTCGGGCTTGGACCCTCAACCTTGCAGGACACTTCTCAAGCCATTTCGCTCTGCTGCTGCCGCTGCTGCTGCTACTCCCTCGCCTGATTCCCTTTCAGATTTAGGGTCTATAGAAATTGTGTAGAGTTTTTGTCCTTATTTTTGGGGGGCTTAGGGTTTACGATTCAGGAAAAGGGAATCAACCGAGGTGACCTAGGACATGCAAAACAAGAAATCTCCCTGCAGGTCCAACCGCCACATTCTCGGCTCGAGGTGCGTTTAGGGTTTAAGGTTTAGGGTTTAGGGTATAGGGCATAGGGTATGGGGTTTAGGGTTTAGGGTTTAGGTTTAGGGTTTGGGGACTTGGGCGTAAGGTTAGGGGTTTAGGGTAAGGGGTTTAGGGTCTCGGGTTTAGGGTAGGGTTTCAAGGGTTTTCGGGTTCTTGGGATTTAGGTTTCTAGGGCTTTAGGGCTTTATGGTTTTGGGCAATTTGAGGTTGAGGGTTCGGGGGCGGGGGGGGGGGGGGGGACCCTTCCAAGCAGGGGTCCCCTCAATCCACGAACTCAAGTTGCGGGAATTGGAGCCCAAACCATGAGACATATCCTTTTCGCCCTACTTGTAGCTGACTGGAACCCATGAGGTTTGGGGTGTAGGGTGTAAGGTTTACGCTAGAGATCCAAGGGTTTTGGACCCTAAACACTAACTCATGGCTACATGGTAAGGCTTCAGCCTAAAGCCTGAGGCAAAAACAAGTGAACCCTGAAGCCCGAAACCTAAAACCTCAGAACCTAAGCCCCAAACTCGAAACCCTAAGCCGCTGAGCTCAAAACGAACCCTAAGGCTTAGCTACATCAAACTACATGAAGTAGGGTTGACATGGTATTGGTACCCGCAAAGCGACACCCAAAAACACGCAGAAAGACATACATTCATACATACATACATACATTCATAAATTCATACATTCATGCATTCATGCATTCATACATTCATACATTCATACACATTGTAAACAATTACGAGTAACAGTAGGGCTTATGGTTTAGGATTTAGGGTTTAGGGCTTCAGCAATCTCAACCCTGTTTCAAATAAAAACAAATGGACCTGAAGGAGGTGAGACCCGGTGATGACAAGAGGCGAGCAGGAGGGGCAATTTGGGAATGCCAGGTTCCCCTAAACCCTAAACCCTAAACCCTAAACCCTAAACCCTAAACCCTAAACATGTGGGAGTATCAAGTTCGACTCCAGGGTTCAGAGTTTACTTGCTGTTGGTTGGCAGGAATGAGGGAATTCGGGCCCTACATATACCCTTTTTGGGGATTATATAGTTCGGGTTTAGCGTTTAGGGTTCAGGGTTATAGGGTACAGTGACAGCACTGATTAAGAAATCATTGGATCAAGAAACGAGCATGCTCGCGGCTGGATCCCGGATTAAAAATGCGAAAATTGAAAGCAAGACTAAATTAAGAAACCGAGGGTACCCTCATCCTGGGCCCTAAATTTCTTAAATTTGGTTGTTTTTGGCAACCGCCGAATGAAAAGTCACCCCCTCAAATAAGAAACTCAGCCCCTCGATTTCTTAAATTTAAGAAATCCAGCTTCTCGATTTCTTAATTTTTAAGAAATCCAGCCCCTCGATTTCTTACATTTAAGAAATCCAAGAAATCCAGCCCCTCAATTTCTTAAATTTAAGAAATCCAGCCCCTCGATTTCTTAAATTTGGGGTCCAGGGAGGGGGGGAGGGGGGGGGGGGAATTGGGCTGGACCCCAAATTTACGAAATCGAGGGGCTGGATTGCTGTTAAGAAATTGAGGGGCTGGTTCTTAAATTTGGGGGGGGGGGGGGGGGGGAGGGGGGGGGGGGGGGAGGGGGGGGAGGGGGGGGGGGGGGGGGGAGGGGGGGGGGGGGGGGAGGGGGAGGAGGGGGGAGGGGGGGGAGGGGGGGGGGGAGGGGGAGGAGGGGGGGAGGGGGGGGAGGGGGGGGGGGGGAGGGGAGGGGGGGGGGAGGGGGGGGAGGGGGGGAGGGGGGGGGGGGGAGGGGGGGGGAGGGGGGGGGGCAGTCCGGAAAATTAAGAATTTCACACCGGGGGGGGGGGGGTGGGGTCGGACCCCAAATCCCTTAAATTTAAGAAATTGAGGTTAACCATTCGAGGCTGGATTGCCGATTTGAGGGGAGCCCCCAATAAAGAACTTGGGCGATCAGCCTAATGGATAAGGCGTCGCCTTACTAATTGACACGTTGCCAGTTCGAATCCCATTAAGAAATTCGTTAAGAAACCGAGGGTGCCCTCAAAAGTGTGGAGGCTATAATTCCGGAAATTGAGTGGGCTTCATAATTAAGAAACCGAGAGAGGGTACCCTCGCCAAAACTTGGAGGTTTCTTATCCAGCGCTGTCACTGTACCTCATTCCCCCATTACACAAACCAACAGCAAGTTTAGGGATGTTTAGGGTTTCGGACTTAGTAGGATGTAGCGGTGTGTCCTTGGCTGACTTCTGGACCCCTCCTAAAAGTGGGTTTAGGGTTTAGGGTTTAGGGTTTAGGGTTTAGTGTTAAAAGTTTAACTTTTCGGCTCCTTCTTGTAGTTTCTTCAACAACCCAAAAGGCTAAAGTCCTAAAAGAGCCAGCCAGAAGAAAGCCAAGTGCTGTTTAAGGTTGAAGGTTCAGGGTCTAGGGTTTAGGAGCCAGTCGGGTTTAGTGGTGTGTTGTTCAAGGTTCAGGGTTGAGGGTTTAGGGTTGCTAGGGTTTGGGGTTAAGGGTTTAGGGTTTAGGGAACAAAGCCAACACCGGTCAGGCTGTCATGTTGTTCTGCCTCAGCAGCCCCTTCAATTCAACTTTTCAAGCCCTAAACCCTAAACCCTGAACCCTAATCCCTTACTCAAGCCAGTCACGGCACGCGTAGCTCTTTACGTCCAGAGGGCCATTGTTGAACACGAGCTTTCGTTTACAGAACTCATTCAGGGGGCGCGCTAAGCTCCCCGAGTACTCGTCAAGATGCCACGCTAAATACCCAAAATGAAAGAAATGTAACCGTTCAAAAGCTTCACTACGTGATGCTTTGGGCAGGTTCCACTCTGACACCCGAAGCCCCAGGCCCCAGAACCCTTCAACCCTGAACCGTACATCACACACCACAAAATCCTACGAAGTCCTAGAAAGAGTGCAAATCCTAAACTTCCATAAAAACAGACGTAAACCCTAAACTAAACAAAGTGTTGTTGACTGCCCCTTCTGACCGGCTAGCTGCTTCCGGTTTTTGGGGAAAACGCCATGCCAGCAAAAATGCGGATGCAGTTGCAGGGGGCTGCCTGCCCCTTTGTAGCCAAACCCTAAACCCTAAGCCCAGCCCCTAAGTCCCAAGTCCTAAGTCCTAAATCCTAAGTCCTAAGTCCTAAACCCTGAACCCTGAACCCTAAACCCTAAGCCTTAACACCACGAAACCAGAAAAGTCAGAAACCAGCCGCCGCACGGGTTCGGCTTTCAGCTTCGGAACCGGTTTAGGGTTTAGGGTTTAGGGTTTAGGGTTTAGGGTTTAGGGTTTAGGGTTTAGGGTTTAGGGTTTAGGGTTTAGGTTACTAGAACCATGAGACGTAGAACCCACTATTGAGGGGCCTCGCCTAAGTGAGATACTTTTGGGGCCCGCTGTGAGGGATCAAGATACGCTGGGCCCCCCCCAAACCCTAAAGCCTGAACCCTAAACCCCAAACCCTAATCACATAAAATGTCCCTTTCAGAACCGTGGGATCCGAATATCGATGCTCCCAAGATTCCCAAACTTGAAAGTCTTACGGACGTCTCAGAATGTCAATTAGGGTTTAGGGTTGAGGGTGGTGAATTAGGCAGTCGTGGGCTTTAAGTCTAAGTTTCAGTTGCTAAATGGGTTCTTTGCTGAAGTTTCATGTCGAGGGAAAGGGGCCCTTTTCGGAAAGAATGTCCAGCATACAGTTTAGAGTTTAGGGTTTAGGGTTTCGGGTTTCGGGTTTCGGGTGTAGGGTACAGGATACCCCCCTGCAAGCCAAATCAGCGCAAGTCCCTCAAATACTGGGAAGCACCACCCTCAGGCACGACGCTCACCACCCTCAGGCAGGACTTGCTTAACTTCACCCTAAACCCCAAACCCTAAACCCTAAACCCCAAACCCTAAACCCTAAACCCTGAACCCTAAACCCTAAACCCTATAAACCCTAAACCCTAAACCCTGAACCCCAAACCCTAAACCCTAAACCCTAAACCAAAAACCCTAAACACCAAACACTAAACCCTATACCCTAAACCCTAAACCCTGATGAGCATGCAAAAAGCAACCTGCTACAGCCTGAGACTACAAGAAAAAAAAAACGCTACGAGAAAGGGCCCCTGAGATATAAGTTGGGTTCCACGGGCCCTAAAGTGGGCTATAACTCTTTGTTGTTTAGATTCTTATTCTCTTACCTAGAGTTGATACAGTTGGCGGCCTCTAGTTAGATTCGTATTCCCTCACCAAACTCATAGAGCTGGGCCTCTACTCGTAGACCCTCAACCCCGCACCATTCCCTCCTCCCGAAAAATCAGCAACCTGATTGCAGGGATGTGCATGGCATGTGGGAAAAATGGCCAAACCTTGCGTAGGCTGAGCGAGATAAGACGATGCAGATGCAGATGGCCTAAATGGCATAGAGGGCTTAGGGTTTAGGGTTTAGGGGTTTAGGGTTTAGGGCTATTCACAAGGAGCAGATCCAATGAGGGTCATGAGGCCTAAATCCCTGCCTTGCCCGCGTCTTCGGGTACCTCCTCTTAGGCCTGGCAACTGTTACTGAGAAAACAAGTAACCTAAACCCTAAACCCCAAACCCGAAACCCTACACCCTAAACCTTAAAAATTAATACATTTAACATGGAAATTCTTGTAGGCCTTAGGCTCTAGCCAAGCTGCCAACGTCAGTCTGCCATGGCAGCACCTCCCGCGGAGTCTGCAGCCTTGGAAGGCAATCCCTAAACCCTAAACCCTAAACCCCAAACCCCAAAAGCGTTCAGGGTGACCCTTCAAGTCGGGCTGAGGATGGTGTTGTGGGTGTTTGGGGCGTAGCGGGTGGGGTACTCGTTTGATGTGTCGGGTTTCGGGTTTAGGGGTTTCGGGTTTAGGGTGGGGTTCAAGGCAGAGGGGTTGAGACTTAATTAGGGTTCTAGTTGATTGGGGCGGTTTAGGGTTGAGGGTTTAGGGTTCAAGGTTGAGGCTTGAAGGTTTCGGGGGCGTTTTGGGGCACAATTAGTCATAGTAGGTTTAGGGGGGTTCGGGCGCCCCAAGAAGCTGAACCTAGACGAGGAAACAAGAGGAATCCTTCACAGGAAACTAGCAACTGGGTTTGGGATTCTAGGCTTAATTAGACAACCGTAGTGCGGCTTTCTTCTAGAGGATCCCGCCAGCTATCCCACCATCACCCTAAACCCTAAACCCTAAACCCTAAACCCTAAACCCTAAACCCTAAACCCTAAACCCTAAACCCTAAACCCTAAACCCTAAACCCTAAACCCTAAACGCCACCCTTTCTTCCTAGAACTTGGCACGGCGCGGGCGAGGCTTCTGGCGCCGCAGCTCCCGCGGCGCCTCGGGGCCAAGTGAAGAGCTGACGAGCCGTAAACTGGGTTTAGGGTTTAGGGTTTAGGGTTTAGGGTTTAGGGCTTTATGAGCCCGGAACTCTCAGCCCCGAATATAGGGGTCGGAATAAGATAAGTATTCACACTATTCTCTTATGATCTCTGTGTAATTCTTCTACAAAAACCCCCAAACCCAATTCTAGTTGTAGGCTGTAGAGGTTTAGGGTTTAGGGTTAGGGTTTAGGGCTTAGGGTTTTAAACGCTGACCTCCGAACCCCACAAACCCCATAAACCCACACTGAGGCGAGGAAGAAGAGGACGAGGAGCCTCTGCGCCTCTTTTGCCCTTGGCCTTTCGATTTGTCTGGCGGCTCCGATCTTTCATACCTAAACCCTAAACCCTCATAACCCTGAACCCGAATATCTAACAACTAATAACCCTAAACCCTAAACCCTAACACCGCAAAAAAGCTGGACTCCTCGAGGGGTGGTGGCACCATATGTGCGGAACGCCCTCGAACCTATAACCCCAAAACAGGTGGCCCTAAACCTTATAAACTCTGCGGCATTGGGATGTTCCCCCCTTATACTAACAGTCCTCAATAGGGGTTATAGTTCATATTCCCTGTTAAGGACTGCTAGTACGAGGGGGAAGATCCCAACCTATGGCCCAAAACCGCTCGCTTTGACTGAATGAACGTGCTGAGAGGCCTAACAGGAATGAAACAAACTGGGCATTCCTGCACCCTGGCCTAAACCCTAAACTCCTGAGGATCTACACACACATAAATAAACATGTTTCGCTCTCTCCACCGCTTCACGTGTTCATGTCTGAGCACTACGGAGCACAGCACTATATGTATATATATATATATATTCATTTATTTATGTGTGTATATATATATATATAAATGATAACATGCCACTCCTCCCAACAGAAAAACATCCTAGTAACCCTAAACCCTAAACCCTCAACCCTACACCCTATAAACCCTAAACCCTCAACCCTAACCCCTAAACCCTAAACCCTAAACCCTAAACCCCTACCTTCATGCGCGCTCTTAGGCCCGCGGCCGGCTGGGTAGCCAGCAGGTGCCGCGCGCTCTGGGCGAGGGGGCGGCTCCAGAGCCTTCGCGGCGTTGGGCACGCGTGCGTAGGGTTTAGGGTTTAGGGTTTAGGGTTTAGGGTTTAGGGTTTAGGGCTTAGGGCTTAGGGCTTAGGGTTTAGGGTTTAGGGTTTAGGGTTTAGGGTTTAGGGTTTAGGGTTTAGGGTTTAGGGTTTAGGGTTTAGGGGTACCCAGGGAGGTAACGGACACCCCTGAATTGGGGAATACTCCTGAAGTCGTAAGGAACATTCCTCAAACAACTCAGGGACATCATGCTCCATGGGTGACATCGGACGGAGAGTCGGGACTGGGGGTTCTGAGGGTTGTGTAGGGAGGTTTCGGCTTCTTCGGCTTCTTTTCTGAGGAGAAGTTTGAGGTTTAGGGTTTGCGGATTGGGGTTTAGGGTTTGGGTAGGGTTTAAGGGTTTAAAGGCCAGATCTTCATTCCAAAACCCGACCTAGGACTCCAACCTCAAAAAAGCCCTCAACCCTGAACCCTAGGCTCGGCCCACTCCAGGGTTTAGGGTTTCTAGGGTTTAGGGTTTAGGGTTTCGGGTGTAGGGTTGAGGGTTAGGGTTGAGGGTTTAGGGTTCAGGTCTTTCACCCGTAGCTCTGAACCCAATCAGGCCTCCAGCTTGTTCAGGACCGTTTTCATGTCCTGCAGAGGCTTTTGCTTGGTCGCTGAGTTCACAAGCCCCCCAAAAAGTGAACACTTTCAGTTCTGTAGGGGATTAGAGTATCCAAAAAGTGTAAAGCGTACTCATTCAGCTACTAAGTTTGAGAAAAACATCAGGCATTTTCGGGGCCCAACGGCTTGGAAGGGTTTGTGTGACCCTGAGCCCCTAAACCCTAAACCCTGGGTTTAGGGTTTAGGGTTTAGGGTTTAGGGTTTAGGGTTTAGGTGACCCTGAGCCCCTAAACCCTAAACCCTGGAAAAGACATGACGACCCAACGACGACACCTGGCCCCCGAACCACGCAGGGGGGGGGGGGGGGGGTTAGGGTTGGTTCTTGTTGAGCTGAGTTTAGGGTCTAGGGTGAGGGTTTAGGGTTGAGGGTAACTTTAGGGTTTCTCTAAGTTGGCCCTTAACCTCCTGTTTGGGGGTTACGGCCTGCAAGTCAAGCGAGGCACCTCTCTGCAATCTTGGGATCTAGCAGGCCCAATCACACGGCTTCTTCAAACCTAGGCTTAGACCAATTATCTGAGTGTAGTTTCATGGGGGCACACAGCCATCGCTGAGTTCACTCTTCTCCTGGTCCTTCACCCGTCCATTCTTCTCCTGGTCATCCACTCGAACGGCAGCGTAGTTCTCGTATACGTCTCTCAAGGGCTTTCACGAGAAGTGCTCACCGACAAGGAACCCATGAGCTGTCAGGAAGCCGGTGTGGCGGTCGCTGGTGACAAGGTTTAGGGTTTAGGGTTTAGGGTTTCTACCAGCATTTCGGCTTTGGCCCGTGGGATGACTGGAAGGCGCTTGTGGTCCTGCGGCCAGGCTCCACTTGTGTGGTCGCTCGCCTGCGCTGCGTCTGCTAGCTTCGTCGTTGCATGCGGAGTGAGTCACCCCTTTAATGGCCCATTCCACGAAACCATGAAATCATCCCAAGATTTTTTGGGCACAGGCGCATGTAGCTACAAGTAGAGTCTAGGTAGAGACCTTCTTACTCTACTAACTTTAGCTAAGGGAGTTACTATAACCCTTTCTGGGACCCTTGTAACCCGACTCATAACTTGGGGGCCCCTACTCTGCACGCATGGAGGAGCCCTAAACCCTAAACCCTAAACCCTAAACCCTAAACCGTGCAAGCCCCGAGAGTCCTCCAGAAATTGCTTGTCCTCTGGCCGGTGCGGTGTCAACTCGTGCAGCAAGCTGATGAGCCTCTCCTGCAAACAGAGCAGAAGCTGAACAGAGAGGGTTCAGGCTTTAGGGTTTAGGGTTTAGGGTGTAGGGTTTAGGGTGTGGGGCAAACAGAGCAGGATTTTGTGGTTTAGGGTTTGGGGCGTTTAGGGTTTAGGGTTTGGGGTTTAGGGTCTACAAGTAGGGTTTAGGGTTGATGCTTTAGGGTAGATCTCAAGCAAGACGTGCTAAGGGCCAAGATAAAACTTGCTAGTGAAGTGGTGGATGGATCTACATTTGAACTTCTCCCGCGGCTTCGGTTCACACACGTTTGGCAACAAAGAAGCTCGAGCGTTCCTGCAGTACAAACTTCGCCCTATGCGACAAAACAAGTACCCCTAAACCCTAAACCCTAAACCCTAAACCCAAAACCCTAAACCCTAAACTCTAAACCTTAAACCCTAAACCCTTGCTGAGCGTGGTGCCCTTGTTGTTCGCCCCCCCCCCCCCCCCTAACCCTAAACCCTAAACCCTAAACCCGCCTTATTCTTGTAAAGAATCGCGTGGACCCGCTGCGGTCTGTTCGGATTGGCCACGAAGATCTTGAAAATGTGAAAGGCCTCCAAAGCCAGGTTCAGGGTTCGAGATTTAGGGTTTAGGGTTGAAGGTTTAGGGTTTAGGGTTCAGGGAGGTTAAGGGCCAGGATTTCTCTAAACCCTTGATAGGGTCCTTCAGGGAGGGGGCTTCAAGGGGGGTATTTATCCCAAGGTTCCCTCATGCTCTCCGCTACTCCCTAAGGCTCCCGAACCTTCCCAAAGGTTCCTTCGCTACCTACCATCCCTTAAGAACCCCCCTCCCTTAGGAACCCTCTATAGACCCTACACCCTAAACCCAACTCTTGGTGTGCTGGGGTTCATAGAGGTTACTTGGAGGTTCAATGGTGAGGTAACGCTTCGTGGAGGGTGGAGGACGGGGTAGTTCCGATAGTTTGCTAGGGTTTTCAGGGTTGTAGGTACCTCTAAAGCAGAAAAAAGACTAGACCCTGAAAACCTAGATCCTAGAATCCTAAACCCTGGTGGTTCAAGGGTTGAGGGAGCCTTGAGGGTGTAGAACCCACATGTTTTGAGGTATTTCTGAGGGGCTGCAGCTGTTGTAGTGTTCTGGCAACCTTTGGATTCCAGATGTTAGGTAGGGTCAGAGAGTGAAATGAACACGGATACAAATGAAGTGAACAAAGAGAACGTAATGCGTGAGCCGTGTGAATAAACGAACGAAACGAGAACTTATTTTATGCGGCCCTATATACTAAGAGAATTCGGGCCGCTCATAAGGTGAATTGCATTATAATAAGTGAAGTGCACGAGTGAGCGGATAATACTAATACTAATGCACTCACTACAATGTAATTCATTCATTCGCATGCACGTTTACTACTTTATTACAACTAAGCGAACGCAGGACACATGCATTCATTACATTTACTATTTTAATGGTGTACTTTATTGCGCTCCTTCACTTAATAATGTTACGAGCGCATTTAGTGAGGAATTAAACGTGTATTCATATTAATAGTACTTCTAATGGCCGTGTCGACGTCGGCCATCTCGACAGCATCCGGGGCCACGAGGATGTACGGATTGTACGGGTCATCCTTTGCATCAAGGTCGCCCGTTCCAGTCTCGTCCTCCCCCACTGCGATCTGAAGAGCTTTCTGAAGCTCCTCATCATCCTCAAAGCTACTCTCGGGTCTTTGGTTCTGTCTCAGCACCAGTGAGTCTTCAACAGGCTCTTCCTTCACAGCCTGACCAACATCGTCAGCACATTCATCTCTTGTCTGGAACATCATGCACAGAGTAGCAAGCCCTCAAGACTAACGTTTTGCAGGTTCAACAGGGAATCTTTGTATAGTGAAGATGTGTTGTTCCTGTCTCGTGCTTGCATGTCTAGTCTGAAGTTCAGGGTTTATGCTGGAGCTCAGACCAGTGCAGGAGCTGTAGACCTAAACCCTTCGCACATGCCATGCCATGAGCTTTAAGTCATTGGTATCCCTAGGAAGGACCCCATCTGTGCAGAGAGAGAGAGATACTTTAAGAGCAAACGTGTGTACACCACCTCATCAAAAAGCACGGTCAAGCCTCCACCTCACATGGCTTAACTGTGAACCCTAAACCCTAAACCCTAAACCCTAAACCCTAAACCCTAAACCCTAAACCCTAAACCCTAAACCCTAAACCCTAAACCCTAAACCCTAAACCCTAAACCGAAGCAGATCAAGCTAGGAAGAAATGGCGACTCCTCCCTCATATCTGAAGGGCTTAGAAGGGAAGGGAACCTCGCCCCCGAACAAGGGCGATAAGTGCTCACTCTAAAACCCCTAGGCCAGAAAAACCCAAAAACCCTAGACCGTAGTTCTATACTGAACTTGACACCCTAGCGAAAATCACACATTTAGCTCTTCCTTAAGGATTATAATAAAAAATATATATATATATATACATACATATAAGCATGTTTCCAAGTACCCCTAAGAGTTGAGGAATGTGGGGTAGCTACGAGCACAATCTGCATCTCGAGAAAGCACCGCACACCCCAGGGCTTGCGAAAACCCTCGAGCTCAAGGCCCAGAGACTCAAAGGTTTAGGGTTTAGGGTTTAGGGTTTAGGGTTTAGGTTTTAGGTTGTAGGTTTTAGGGTTTAGGTTTTAGCTTTTAGGGTTTAGGGTTTAGGTTTTAGGGTTTAGGGCCTATAGGCTTTAGAGTTAGCTCAGCGAGGTCAGTGGCTGGGCTGGCCGATTAACCGTTTAAACTTAAGCTCCGATCACCCCCTCCGCTCACACAAATGGCCCCAATCCGGGAACTAGCTGCCCTACATAGTCGCTTGAAGGGTTTAGGGGTTTAGGGCTTGAGGGATTAGGGTCTAGGTCCTAGGTCCCCGCCCCCCACACATCCAAATATCTCGCTGTAGTTGCGGGGGGGGGGGGGGTGGGGTCGGTGGGCTTCTGCCCAGCAAGGGCTAGCGCAAAACCCTCAGCCCAACCCCCAAACCCTAGATGCTAAACCCGTCTATGCCCGCCTCTGCAGCAGAAAAGGGGAGTTTAGGGTCTTGACGAGGGCCCAAGTACATACAAGAAAGGCACGTGGAGCCTAAGGGACGGCTTTATAAAGGCTTTGCGAAAGCCTCAACCGAAACCACCCCTGCCCGGCAATGTACCTCCAGCTGTATCGTCTTCGAGTCATCCCGGAGCAGATTCATGTGAATTTGCAGGTAGGAGTCGTCTCCGATGTACAGCATCATTATCCTGCTGCTTCGTATGTTCAGGGGTTCGTTCCCCTCCTACCAGGTTCCGGGTTCCGGGTAGGGTTTGGGGCTTAGGGTTCAGGGTTTGGGTATCAGGGTCTTCAGATCTGGGGACCTTGCGCAAGCATTTAACCTGAAAGGCATGGCCCGGGGGGGGGGGGGGGGGTGGCTGTTGAAGGTCGAGTCAAATGGGTTGGTGGACTGGTTTGTGACGTTTTGGAGAGCGTTCGGTGCCTATACATGTTTGGGGTTTGGGGCTTGGGGCTTGGGGTTGTAAAAAAACAAACCATCTCTCTGAGTCCGCTCCACAGAATCCTCTTCCCCTAAACCCGAAAAACCCTGCACCCTGCACCCAAACCCCTGAAGCTTGAGGTGTTAGTGTTGGAGAGCTGCGAACACCAAAACCCTAAACCCTGGACCATGACCCCTAAACGCTAAACCCTAAACCCTAAACCGGATGCTGGAGCGGCCTCATGAACTTTCGCCCCAGCAAGAGGTCGCTCAGCAGCTTGAGGGCCTGGAGGCCGCGCCCTAAACTGTTAGGGTTCAGGGTTCAGGGTTCAGGGTTCAGGGTTCAGGGTTCAGGGTTCAGGGTTCAGGGTTCAGGGTTCAGGGTTCAGGGTTCAGGGTTCAGGGTTCAGGGTTTAGGGTTTAGGGTTTAGGGTTTAGGGTTTAGGGTTTAGGGTTTAGGGTTTTGGGGCTCAGGGTTTAGGGTTTAGGGTTTCGGGTTTGGGGGTTGGGGTTTGGGGTTTAGGGCTAGGGAACGCCTACAACCCTGAGGCCCGGAACCCTAGAGGCTTGCCACGGTTGTAGGGGTACTGCATCTTGCTTTCGGTAGTTAAGATAGAGGACCTACCCAAATTCCTAAGCCCTGAAACTGTAGGGTCCTTGACCCTGGCATAATTTCAGGCAGGCTCCGATATCAGGGAAGACTTCACACTGTAGGCTTTAAGGTTTAGGTTCTGCAGTTTGGGGTTGACGTTTCGGGGCATAAAGGCTGCTTCGTCGGGGGGGGGGGGGGGGAGTTAATGGTATTGACATTAGTGCCTGGGGCTTAGGTTGAAACTCAACATTGGGGTGGCTGTCAAAATTATGGTGCCTTTTGGGGTCCCTAATATAATACGGCACAAATACTTAGGGTGTCCAAAAAGCGACCCTAGCTTTGACAGCAACAAATTGGGTTTATACACCCTAAAAAACCCAAATGGCCATACTTCAGAACCCTTCTACCACGTAAGGGGCCATATTAAGTGACCATCTACGGAGCTACCTTCAGAGGAATACAAAAGACTATTACCCTAAACCCTAAACCCTAAACCCTAAACCCTAAACCCTAAACCCTAAACCCTAAACCCCAAAAGGGTGTCACTTCAGGTCGCAGGCTTCCTCCGACAACTTTGCCGCATGTTGCTGGGCTCTCTGGGAAGAGGAGATCTGAGACCCGAAGCAGGGTTTAGGGTTTAGGGTTTAGGGTTAGGTTGTAGGGCTCAGGGTTCAGGGGTTAGGGTTTAGGGTTTAGGGTTCTAGGGCTCAGGGCTCAGGGTTCAGGGGTTCAGGGGTTCAGGGTTCAGGGTTTAGGGTTAGGGTTTAGGGTTTAGGGTTTAGGGTTTAGGGTTTAGGGTTTAGGGTTTAGGGTTTAGGGTTTAGGGTTTAGGGTTTAGGGTTTAGGGTTTAGGGTTTAGGGTTTAGGGTTTAGGGTTTAGGGTTTAGGGGGTTTAGGGTTTAGGGTTTAGGGTTTAGGGTTTTTGGAGTTTAGGGTTTAGGGTTTTAGGGTTTAGGGTTTAGGGTTTAGGGTTTAGGGTTTAGGGTTTAGGGTTTAGGGTTTAGGGTTTAGGGTTTAGGGTTTTAGGGTTTAGGGTTTAGGGGTTTAGGTGAGGTTTAGGGTTTAGGGTTTAGGGTTTAGGGTTTAGGGTTTAGGGTTTAGGGTTTAGGGTTAGGGGGTTTAGGGTTCAGCAACTCTGGCCTGAAAAACCTCCGAAACCGGAAGCCCCCCCCCCCCCCCCCCACACAAAAAAAATGGCCTCACACCCTTTTGGGGTTTAGTCGGCTCCTGGGGATGAAGTTTACTTCCCTAAGGGTTTAGGGTTTAGGGTTTAGGGTTTAGGGTTTAGGGTCCGTGTACCCATATGGGTTTAGGGTGTAGGGTTTAGAGTCCATGTACCTGTAGAGTAGATACTTGGGCCCGAAAGCTACTACATTCTACATGGGAACCCCTTTAAAGGCCAAGTGTATACTACAGGTACAAGGGTCCTGAGGGATGTAGGGGTTTATATAGGGGTTTAGGGTTTAGGGTTTAGGGTTTGGGGTTTAGGGCTTAGGGTCCTTGGGGATTTAGGGGCTTAGAAGCGGGCCTGGCGCTTGGTCACATAGTCCCCTTCCTGCAAGAGGCTGTTGTAGCTGGTGAAGTAGTCGCGGAAGTTTGCCTCGAGGACAATTTTGGGGCCCTCTCACCCTCTCAGCCTCTCACGCTAAACCCTAAACCCTAAACCCTAAACCCAAAATTCTAGGGTTCTTCCGGGAGGGGCTTCATGGGGGGGTTTAGGGTTTAGGGTTTAGGGTTTAGGGTTTAGGGTTTAGGGTTTAGGGTTTAGGGTTTAGGGTTTAGGGTTAGGGTTAAGGTTTAGGGATTAGGGTTCATGGGGGGTAGGTACCTCGGGTAACGAAGCTAAGGGAGTAGTGGGGAGCATTAGGGAACCTTGGTTCCCCTTGAGCCCTAAACCCTAAACCCTAAACCCTAAACCCTAAACCCTAAACCCTAAACCCTAAACCCTAAACCCTAAACCCTAAACCCTAAACCCTAAACCCTAAACCCTAAACCCTAACCCTATGAGCCCGTCGCCCGACTCCGGAACTGGAAGCAGTGAGCCCTGAGTCGTGCCTGCAGAAACTGTGCCGAGGTGTCCTCCCAGGGAGAACTGCAAAGTTTAGGATTTCTGGCTCGGGCACCTATACTTAGTTGCAGCGCTCGGAAGCCCTAAAAAAGTGTGCACTTCCAGTTCTACAGGGGATTATAGTATCCCAGAGAGTGTAAAGTGTACTCACTGAGCAACTAAGTATAGCAGCCCAAACTTGCTTTAACGCCCTGAATATCCCCCAAACCTTAAAGAACACAAATAGTCCACTCTCCACCCTGATCCGCTGCCGTGGGTGCAGTTTCGCGATGTATAGTGGGCAGCAAGCTATTCCCACAGCCCTATAACATGGTCGCCCAGCTTCGCTTATGTAACATGTGACGGCTCTTGTGGGCCCGTTTTGCTGTGGGCAGTGGGTTTGGGGTTCGGGTTTAGGGTAGTCCACTGCAGGGCATTCGTTGAATAGCAGCAAAGCCACAACAAGTCGCGTTCACGGCGTGCAGCTGCATAACTTAGTCTATCCCTTCCATCCTTGGCTTCTATCCTTATTGGGTCATGGGGTGTAGGGGCATCCTTTCAGCATCGGGGCTTACGATTTCGAACCTTAGCTTGTAAAAACCACAGAGACCCGACGCCTCCAGCCCGTGACCCCTCGGGCACTCCTGGTGGTTCAGGAGAAAGTCGTGGAGAGAGGAGAAGGCATCTGTCCTGTGGCGGCCCTACCTAGATACGGGCTCAGGATGCAAGCTTGCCGGTTTGTTTCAAGACTTATAATGGCTCCGGAAGTTTTAGAAGCTCTTTCTTTGTAAGCAAATTCGTGTGCTTGGGCCGAACTTTTGCCAGATTCTTGCACTCTACAAACTCTACCAACAGTCAGTCTAACATCCAAGGGTCATGCTTGGGGGGGGGGGTGGGGGGCAACTTGAAGGGCCTGTGATTTCGTATTTGGGCACCATTCTTGCCAGGGTCATTGGACCCTGTATACTAAGCCCTAAGCCCTCAAGACCCGACATATGTGGACCGTCAAGGAGCCATACAGTAACCAAGGACTTTCCCATGTAAGAGGATCGGGCCCGATATGGGAACTTCGTTAAATTCGAAAACCCTGAGCCAGACCCGCAAAAAGGGTTTAGGAATTAGGGCTTCGGAAAAAGGGCTTAGGGTTTCCTAGCGCTTAGGGCGTATCGGGTTTTGGGGCTTAATTCGTGGATTAGTGGTTGCGGCCTATGTTAGGTGAGCCGCGTCAATTTTATGGCTTGGGGTGCAAACGGCCACAATTTTCCACCGAAGTTCTTGTCGACGGTGGTGAAAGCATCTTTACGGCCCCCGTCAACCGACCTGCGAGTAGGGGCCGTCTTACTATACTAACTCTACCTGAGTTGTGAGACGAACAACAGCTGCAGGTTCTATACATGAGATCCCAACTCTACCTGAAGGCACTCTACTTGAAGGAGCCATAAACCCAAGAAGAATTACAACCACTTCAGGGCCTGGCTAAACCCTAAGACAAAACACCCGAAACCCGAAATCCGAAACCCGAAATCCTAAACCCTAAACCCTAAACCCTAAACCCTAAACCCACAACCCACTTTTCAACTTGAAAGGGGGGGGGGGGGGGGGGGGGGCGGCCCACTTGTAGATCTATTAGTTCGGAGGTTCAGGCCTGGGGCGAAGGGGCCAAGTACACTAAGGTTTTAGGGTTTAGGGTTTAGGCTTTAGGGTTTGGGGTTTAGGGAACTAAACAAGGGTGACCCTTCTTTCTCATCATCGAGGCTCTCGAATGACCTGAACCTTCCCCCTAAACTGAAACTGTCAGTGACGACCCTAAACCATGGGGCTTATAAGGGAACTTCTGAATTCCGTAGACAGGGCATGAGGGTAGTACTGCATGAAGTTTCATGGGCAGTTTTTCTAGTAAGAATACAAACACCACATGTAAGGTTGTGACAGGTTTTCGTACAGTGACCCTACTTTTAGCCCAAGTTGCTTTTGCAAACACCTCAAGTAAGGTTATGCCTAAACCTAAACCCCAAACCATACAACTACTCATGAACCTCGCTAACCCTCCGATGCTGGGAGCACGGCGAGATGTCAAACACCTCGTGCCGTGTGAACTGAACCAACTTCAACACGACCTGCAGATCGGGGAAGGGTTGAGGGTTGAGGGGCTAGGATTTGGGATGTTCCCCCTTACACTAACTGACAGTCCTTAATAGGGGTTATAGTATCCCCGAGCCTAATCCCTATTGAGGACGCTTTAGTAAAAGGGGGAACATCCCAGATTAGGAGTTTGGAGAGCATCGCAAACACTAAACCCAAGGTCTCGCGCCGCCATGTCAGTCCAGCAAACAATCTTCTGTAGGGGCCGAAGTATTTATTCCTACCAAGGAACAAAAGGTTAAACTTCATTATTCCTACTAAATAAGGAAACCCCAAAAGTTTAAAGTTTAACTATTGGCTAAGTAAGTATAGGCGCCTAAATAATTAGAATAGTTTTTTTGGGCGGGGGGGCGGGGGGTTTTTGTCGTATAGCTAGACAGGGACCATAGGGGAATACTATTAGTAATTATTCCGACCCCTCGTTTACTCTACCGGTTCACCCTATTCCACCAAGACTGCAGGAGTGCCTTTCACGAAAAGACGTAGTTCCTGAACCTCAACTCTGACGCCCTAAAACCTCAAAACCCTAAACACACAACACCTCCAAACCTCAAAAACCCTCAAACCTCAAACCCTAAAAACGCGAAACCTCTAAACTCTTTAAACTGTAAAGCCCTAGAAAATGAAGCCTCAAGAGCCCTACAAAAACCCAAAACCTCATAACTCACTCAAAACTCGTAGCCCTAAAAACCCTAGCATCTCCCTAAAGCCCTAGGCCCCAAGATCCCGAACAAAAGGCTCTCAATAGTCAGAAACTAGGGTTTACCGGGGCGCGTGTAGCTGTGCAAAATCACGGGCCTGAAGCCTTGCAAGCAAACTGGAGTTAGGGTTTAGGATTTAGGGTTCAGGGTCTAGGATTTAGGGGCCCCAAGCAAGAAGCCATAAGCCTGCCTGCGTCTGGGATAGGAAGGCTTTCACAAGCTTCTCTTGCCGAGCCTACTGAGGGCAGATGGGGGAGGGCTTTCAGTCAAACCAGTGCGGGCTGGCCGTTAAGCCCTAAACCCGAAACCCTAAACACCCAAACTCTTAACACCCCTAAACCCTAAACCCTAAACCCTAAACCCTAAACCCTAAACCCTAAGGTTCATGGTTCAAGCTGCTGCTCGAGTTCTCGCCCTACGGAGGGAATCTTGGCCCGACGGGGGTCTTGACACCCAACCAAAGTGACACAATTTGTGTAAGCCCAAAAGCTCACAGCTTGGGGGTTTAGGGTTTAGGGTTTAGGGTTTAGGGTTTAGGGTTTAGGGTTTAGGGTTTAGGGTAGTTAAGAACAACTCTCCATAACCATTGGGATCTTAGTGCCCCAAACGAAAGAACATCCTTTGCTTTTGGGGTATTGCTCGGACATTGTTGCACCCTGTTTTAAGCCCTAAGCGGCATACAGGGAGTTGTGCTGGGAGGCTGATGTTTGGGGGCTAACTCAGTGCCTCTTTGTGTGCCTCTAACTTCTGGACGATCTCGCTGGCAAATATGATGAAAATTGTTTATTCAAGCTGCCACTTCCACGGGCATTCTGACTTTGCAGAGATGCGTTTCGGGTTTCGGGTTCAAGGTTTAGGGTTGAGGGCTAGGCTTTAGGGCTTAGGGTCTAGGGTTTTAGGGTCTAGGGTTTTAGGGTTTAGGGTTTAGGGTTGAGGGCTAGGGTTCAGGGCTTAGGGTCTAGGGTTTAGGGTTTTAGGGTTTAGGGTTAGCTCCCCCAGCGCGCTGCAGTGACTCCACATGGCGAAGGATCCTATAGGGATACAAAATGGAAGCTGGGGGTTTCCGATATTAGGGGTACCTTGTTGGGGTCCTTATTATAAGGGAATCCTACTATTGGGGGGTCTATATTAATGTTGCACCCGCTTTAGTATCGGCCCCCTCTTTAAAGACAAACTGGCCGAATTATTCAGGACACCCTGACTGTTTGGGAGTCCCTCTTTAAAGACAAACCGCCCCCGAAATCCGGAATTTTTTTTGTTAGGATTTGGGGCTTGTTTTAAATTAAGTTGATTGAAACAACTAATTAATCCTCAATACCAAACCTCCAAATCCAAAACCCTTAGCTCTGCAAAGCTCAGTTTTCTTCTCAACCTGGGTGTCTCAAGCTTTTGAAAAAGAGGGCCCATGCTGCCTCAGGCTGCAAGTTGATGACTGAGTTAATCCATCATCCCTAAACCCGCACTGTTGGACTGCCGGATGTCCTGAATAATTAACTGAGGCAGCAGTGGTGGCCGGCCCCAGAGGGGGCATGTTCCTGAGCCTGGATTTGCTCAGGTTTCTTTGGCGCGGGAAGCCTCACTACCCTTCTCAGCCTGAATTGGCTGAAGCTTGTTGGCCTTGAGCATCTCTTTGAGATACTGAGCGAATTCCTGGGTGGGATTTGCTCAGGTTTCTTTGGCACCGGAAGCCTCACTACCCTTCTCAGCCTGAATTGGCTCAGGCTTGTTGGCCTTGAGCATCTCTTTGAGATACTGAGCGAATTCCTTGGGTCCTGCAGCAGAGGAATGGTCTCAAGAAAGGGCTGACAAGTGCAAAAGGCTGATGGTAGAGTTGCAGTCCTGGCTGAAAGGGCAGCTTCCCCTGAGCAGCGGCCTCAGTGGTGAGGTGGTACTTCAGGGCTTTCTCAGCCTGGCACTGAGGACAGCCTGTCTGCCATCGGCAATTCTGGCAGATCCCTGGCGAGTGCTCTAAGGCCAGAATCTTGGCCGTGGCTTCTTTGCTGAGATGCTTCCAGGTGAACCTGAAGAGGTTCTTGTCGAGGGATTCCTTAGCAGCCACAGCAGCCTTGGTTGTCGAAGCCTTGGCTGTGTCTAAGGCGTGCTGAGCTTTGGCTACCCTCTTCTCTGCTTCCTTTCTCTCGGCCTCAGTCTTGTTGTAGGCCTTCTCGATCTCAGCGATCCTCAGCTTCTGCTCCTTCTCAAGATGTGGCTTCATCTTGAGAAGCCTCTCCTTCCAAGTCTTAGCCAGGAGCCCAGGCCAAACCCTCAACCATTCTCCTCGGGCCTGCCTCACTTCCTGCTCCATCCAGGCTAAGACATAGAACCCGCAGAACAGTGACCCCTGAGGCTGCACTGCTGAGTTGGTCTTCTTGGGCAGGCTGAACTGAGGATCGAGCAAGCTCCCAATCCTGACCTGAGCCAAGGTGCAGGCCTCAATGGGCTCCTGAAGGCTGTCGTAGAGTCGCCACTGAAAGCCCTCGGTCTGGTCCAGGGACTCTCTCTGAGCCACCAGCAAAGTCCAGTGCAAAGCCCTAACCAGTGGAACCAGAAGCCTGAGACCATTGCTGAAGGCTTTCTTAACAGCATCCTCACGTGGCTCAAGCAAGTGCTCAGGAAACTCGAAGAGCAAGTGAGGAAGGCCAGGGTCTAAGCACTCCACTGAGAACTCCTCAAAGGATCCTGCCTTGGCTTTTCGCAGGGACCAGCTCATCATGGCCCAGCCCTGCCAGATCCACTGATCCTCGACCAAGAAAGGCTTCTCAGTCTCAGGAAAGGGCACTAAGCCATGGTCGGCATAGTCGTCGTAGCTCAGCTTTGGCTCAGGCCAGCAGGAGATGGCCCTGAGGATCGCCTGAGTATCTGCCCTGCTGAGGTATTTCAGCTGAGCCCAGACGAACTCAGGAGTCTTGGGCTCCCAAAGCGTGAGATGCTCAGACCTGATCTCGAAGGTGCCACTCACGGTCATCACAGTGTAGCGACCTGACTGGAAGTCTGAGGCCAAGCCCTTAATGCCAAAGAGCATGCGGCCAGCAGCCTCGGAGACACAAATGACTTCTTTCTCAAGGAAAGGAGCCAGCAGGGCTGAGGGCTCAGTCTCAGTCTTTGTGGGCTCAGCTTTGGCCTTAGCCTTCTTCTCCTTCTTCTTCTTGGCTGTGACCTTAGCAATGACCTTGTCTACAGTGGCCTTGTGCTCGTGCTTCTTAGCTGCTTTCTTCTTAGCCGAAGCCTTCAGGAACTTGCTGGCCTTGCTCTTTGCTGAGGGCTTGTTCTTTGCTGAGGGCTTCGTGGTTGCACTCAGTTTCTGGCCTTTGGTCTCAGTCCTCACAGGGACCACCTGACTGAGTGCTTCTGCCCGACTGCTCAGCATCAGCTTTTGTCTCAAGCTTTGCAGAAGCTTGCCCCTGAAGGCCGTCCTGTGCTTCAGCCTCTCCCTTCTGAGCTCTGCTTTTTTCCTGATGTCCTTCACTCTCTCAGTGTAGCCCTCCTCAAGAGCTCTGCGAGCTGCTGCACGTCTGAGCTTTGGGTGCAGCCTCAGGGAAAGGCTGTTCTGCAGACTCAGGTCCAGGTCCTCTGCAAGGTCGGCGTCTAAGTCAAAGCCTCCATCCTCAGGCTCATGTTCAAGGTCTTCCTCAGGGTTGAAGTAGTCCCACCTGATAAGGTCGGAGATCTGCTTAGCTGAGTCGCTCAGAGACCAGTCAGCCTGGATGGGTTTGCCTGCGTCGTCCAGCCACTTAAGCCTCTCTGAGAGCCAGCTGGCTGGGAAGCGACGACTGCCCATCCTGAGGTCGAGCTCCTTAGCCCAGGGCTGCTCGGAGACCGTCTCAAGCCTCCCAGTCTCAGGGTTGGGCCGATAGGCCAGAAGGCCATTCCTGACGGCTGCCCTCACGACCCAGGATTGCTCTTCGTTCTTCTGCCTCAGCTGCTCCTCAGCCCAGACCACTGAGGTGACGATCTCAAGGGCACCCACTCGCCACACCTCAGACTTCCCTGAGAACTTTTGCTGCTCCTGAAACTCTGTTCTCAGGGAGGACAGCTTGTGCCTCACGGCAGCCTTGAACTCTCTGGCGAAGTCTGAGTCCGTGATCTGGAGCTTAGACGTGCACTTCGCAGCAACTAAGCAGCTGATCTGCTGGGCTAAGGCCATCGACTCAGCAGCCGTGTCTGAGAACACGGAGCTGAAGCAGTCTCTCTGCCAGACTGAGCAAGGGTACTCAGTGGCCTGGCCCTCAATGACCCAGCTCAGGATCACGGAGTCGACGTTCGCAGCTGGCTGGCTCATGATGTCCAGCTTAGCGACCAGCTCAGGGTGAGCCTGCCTGAGCTTTCGATAGCTGAGCAAGATCTTGCCGACTGAGGCACCAGCTGAGTGAACCTTCTCCTTAGCACCGACCCTGAACCTCTCAGTCCGGATCCACTTGCCGTCCTGAGAGATGTTGCTGAGGCGAGCCCACTGGCCGGGCACCACCAGCAACCCCTTGCCCACTAAGCCGACGACTGGCTTGCTGGGCTCATCCAGAACCTGAAGAAGCACCTGACGGGCCTCGTAGGTGATTCTGAATCTTTCGTCGGCTGAGAAGCCTAAGGTGGTCTTAGCTCCGGCCTTAGGCAATGCCTTCTTCTGTTTCTTCTTAGGCTGCTGATGCTCAGGGCCTTTCTGACTGTGCCTGAACCTCTGCTGCTGCTCCTCCTCTGCTTTCTCCTCGGTCTGCAGAGGTTTCTCTGGGCTAAGGCTGCTGAAGCTCAGGCCCTTCTGACTGTGCCTGACCCTTCTGAGCCGAAGCTGAGGGCTTTCTTTACTCCGGGAGTGCTGTCACCTGTGTCGCTGATGGGAACCACTGAAAGGTTGCATCTGAGTCAGTCCTCATGGCATCCTCAATGGCTTCCCTGACCTCAGAAAAGTCCTTGGTGGTCTCAGCTGAGTGGAGCTCCTCAGCAGAGAAGACTGCCTTTCGGCCTGTGGCCTTAGCCCACAGTGGCACCTGATCGGAGAAGCCGATGGCTAAGTGAGCCCTGTTCTTCACGAAGTCCTCAGGGTCTGACACCCTCTTCTCAGCAGACAGCTCAGGAAGAGAGCTCAGGCTGGCCAGCCAGAGGCACCAGTCGAACTCTTGCCAGGTGAGCTTGCACCTGACCTGAGACTCAAGGCTGCTGATGTTGCTCACGACCTCTGAGGTGGTGAACTTGGCCTTGGTCCATCTCAGGAGCTTCTCAGTGAAACTCCTGCGGTAGGCCTTG